CTCCAGCTGTTCCTGTTTTTCCAGGTTCTTCGGCTCCTGAGTTCCCTGTGTTTCCAGGTTCTTCGATTCCTAAATATCATGAGTCTTTTGTTCTTGATTCTCCAACTCCTACTGTCTCTGAGTTTCCAGTAGTTCCAGATTCTTCAGTTCCTGAGCATCCTGTGAATCCAGTTTCCTTTATTCCTGAGAAATTTTGGGTTCCAGTTTTTCTGTTCCAGATTTGGTTCCAGTTTCCTTTACAGGAAGAAGACCTTGTCTCACTGAGAGACAAGAACGCATACCAGAACTATTGGCCCATGGGACTTAAGCATCAGACCCAACCAGTTGATGAACTAGTCTGCCAATCTGAGGTCCAAATCGTGAAGCCACATGAGTCAGGTCATGACTCAAAGACTCTTGTACCAGGCTGATCACCAATTTGGTCCTGTTGCTGACGAAGATTGAACTAGAAGATCGAACCTCAAACTATGTATTGTGTTTATGCATTGTTTGATGTAACACTTGCTTATTTCTGTTATAATTGTGCATGTTTTTATATTTACATTATAGTTATGCATGTTTTGATACCATATTTTTGGCCTATTTAGTCACTAGTTAGCCAGCAAAAAGTATTGCATGCCTTAATGCTATGTTTTGCTATTTCAGTTAGTTAGTAGTAAAAATTTAAATTTCCAAGCGGGGAGAGCTCTGAATCGTATAACTCTATGTAACCCTGGCTAGAGCATATAGGTTTGCATTTATTGGGTTAAGTGGTGTCTCCTTAAGAATGTAGTTTAGCTAGTTAGCTATCCCATATCAATGGGTCAGTGGGAGGAGTTACTGAGCTCATCAGAGGATTTCCTGGATACAAGCCAGGGGGGAATGTCTTTTTTCTTCCAAGCCTCATGGCACTTAGCCACGGCTTGGAGGTCCTATGCCAACATGTGATGCTTATGCAGTAGAAGAGGGGAAAATATATCATCAAATTACCTATGGAAATGAACAGAGATGTATTATCCAGAATCAATCAACATAAATGCAAGTAATTCCTCTGAATAAATATATTTCTCTTTTAAAATCATCTCTATTGAGTTATCTGTCTGTCCTGTATAGAACTAAGGCCGTCTGTTCTGTTGGGAGCAGAACAGGCAGTTGAAAGAAAAGTCTTCATCATGGTTCAGTCCAAGCTGGGAATAAACAATATGGCGACTACTTTAGAAAGAAGGTTGCAGTTTATTGAAGAGGAGAGCCAGACAGAAAGATGGCTCTGAAAGAAAAGATTTTGGTGTGACGGATTGTTGATTCTAGGGATCTTTCTTCCTAATCCCAGTTTCCTGACTCCAGTCTTTCTGACAAGATTATCACATCTGCAATTCTACAGACTTGGTTTCTGTTTGGGACAGAGAGACTTGGGCGGGTGGTTTCTGCCTTTAAAATCCTTTCGGGAAATATATTCTGCCTTTTAAATATTTCCAAGAATATTTCTTTCTCTGGAGGGGACTGATTTCCCACATGGCAGAATTCAGTGGCTGATCAGTTGCACCACCGGGAGCAAAAGACACCCCCACAGGAAGAAGCAACGAGCCACAAGCAGGTGGGCCACCCCCCACCATTGCCCTCGGGAGCTCTGCAGGATGTGTCTGCTCCAGGTCGTCATCTTTGTGTCGACTATTATAATATTGCATGAACAGAGTGTTGTGGTGGTCCAATTTGGAAGGGACCGGGGTGCATGTAGGCAGGGCTTCCCAGTCCAGAACCGACCAAAAGGTTCTCCTAGCCACGGCAGGAGCTGGAGGTCCAGGAGCCTCTCCCTCCCCCATTGCACACCAACCCTGTATTGGAGTGTTTTAAGGAGAATAACTCTCCAGATTCAGGGGAGACTCAGTTGCCCAGAGCCCCTCTGTCTTGCTAGGGTTGAGTCCCTGCCAACCCCACACCCACCCAAACTATCACAGTCTCCGGGTGCTGGAGAAGCACCTGAGCAACACCACCTGTGTATCCTAGGGTAGGGATGGCCAACCAAATATCATCAAAGAATTCCATGCAGCTGAGCCACTTAACTAGGAGCTTGTGTGGGTGTGAAACAGCAGAGGTGAGTGACCCAGGCTCTGGGGTGCTCCACATAAAAGGGGCCTAGGGCTGAATGAGGAACATAGTACCCCCACCCCTATCCACCCCAGGGTCAGCCCAGTAGGATAGCATGGCTGATGATATGAAAAACCTCAGGGAGATTGGGGGGGGGGCAGGAAGAATGCAGCACCCTCAATTTGAGCTCTTCAGTCCAAAAACAGGACTCATGCTGCCTTTGTAGCTTAATTGGGCCAAAACCCAACCGCTTGTGTTTCACTTGGTCTTTAGGGGAGCCAAATACCAAGTAGGGAGTCACTGTTCAAACTCAGACATCGTCAGAAAAGCTGGAGCAATCAGAGGATGAGGCATAGCCCTCCAAGCCCCGTGTGTAGAAAAGAGAGGAAAGACGCTTAGCCAAGCTCCTCGCCAAGCAAGGAAGAAACTCTCTTAATTAAAGAGCTGGCTGCAGCCTGGTTTAATAAACAGTCCTGACCATAGTTCTTTGTTGGAAATAAATGCTGGCTGAATTGTTGTTGTTCCTGTGTAGTCTGGTCATGTAAACCCCCCTGAAATTCTGGCTTTGAGGGAGGCTGGTGAACCTGGCTTGGTTTTCTGAATTTTGGACTAGGCCAGGTGTAGGCAACCTTGTCTCTTTTATCACTCGTGGACTTCAGCTCCCAGAATTCCTGAGCCAGCCATGCTGAGCGGAAAGGGAGAGGTTTCCAAGCTGAGCCATGCTGGCTCAGGAATTCTGGGAGTTGAAGTCCACAAGTCATAAAAGAGCCAAGGTTGCCTACCCCTGGACTAGGCTTTAACTTCTCTATGTTCCTTTTCAAAATAAAAGTCAACAGGCAAGCTTGCTTTCTAAGAGACTTCGTTTTGACTTGCATTCCTTTCCTCATCTATTATTTATTCGGCCTTGAGTAACTTACTAGTACCTCATAGTAACTTTGTGCGTGTGTGTGTGTGTGTGTGTGTGTGTGTCTGTGTGTGTGTGTGTGTGTGTGTGCATGCGTGCGCACGTGTGTGAATCTGAAATTCAGCACAGGTCACCGACAAGCATGACCGATGCAATCTCTGTCCTGTTGTATGTCATGCTGCCTTTGTTTTGCTTGACAAAAGGAGATTTAATGTGGAAATAGAGATGAATTTCCTAGTAGAGTGATCAGTGGAACAGCTTGCCTCCTGGAGTTGTGGATGCTCCATTGATGGAGAATTTCATAGATAAGAGTGGACAACCATTCATCCAAGATGACTCCCTGTGCATCATGGGTGACCAATTGTGATTATTTCTCCCCTCCCCCCTCAAGCTTCCCCTGATACCTCTCCAGATGTCAGCTCTGAGTATAAAGGTAATTATGATATAGTAGCTGACCGGCAGAAGTGATATATACAGAATGAGTCAGCAGAGTGTTTCGGGTTGTATCTCTTTAAGACAGAGGTCCCCAACCTTGGCAACTTTAAGACCTGTGGACTTCAACTACCAGAATTCCTCAGCCAGCTTAGAGACCCCTACTTTAAGGGACTATGTCTGAGAAGAACAGCAGTTGGAACCTGTTTGCTCACTTCAACCGTTTGAATATAATTGATTATCTTATATTCTGTATGCTCCCTGAATATTGTTGTTGCATATTGTATATTAAAACCACAGTTCTTTTAACAAACCACTGTCCGATATTTATGCTCCTGTGTTATCACAAGAAGAAAATAAGAAAAAGACTGTGATAATTTATATTTTAAAGAACAGGAGGAGGATGAACCAGTCCCAGGCATATCTGGAGGGGAGTTGGTCAATGGCTCCAAGCAAGGATTTGAGAGGATTGGCTGAAGCGCAGCTGAAGCAGGACAGCCCCGAGGCTTCAGGTGGGGAAAGTACACAGTGATGAGGAAGAAAAAATGCCTTCTGGACCTGATCCAAGAACACATAGGGCAAACAAAAGGCAGGTGCAGAGAAGATCAGCCAGATTACTTGTGAGGAGAAAGCCTCGCCTTTCTTGATGGCTTGCACCAGAAGCTGGCTTTTTAGTACAGCAGATGAGTGGAGGCGATGCTGGGAACAATGTGTTCCCAACCTGGCTGTTTCCTGGTCATTGTGATACCTGTCTTGCTTTGGATTGACGCCATGCCTTGACTTTGCATCGTGCCTTATAAACTCTGGACTTTTCTTGCCTAATGAATTTTCTTGTCTTGTGGATTTATCTTGTCTGGAAAACTTTCAAGTGCCTTGTGGACATTTGCTTCCCCTCTGTTGAGAGACGGCTGTTCAGTTTTGACATAGATGGCCTCTTTGACCCCCCCTTTCAAACCAGTGGTGCTCTGTGAAAAAAGGCCCCCCACCAGAGGGGGAGAGGTATGACATCTATCTTCAGTCTACCACACAGTCCTTTCAACAGTTCCAAGAAAGCTCCACACTCATTTGCATTACTCAGGTGACCCTGATGACACAGATAAACCTCCAGGTGGCCTCAGGGACACTCAACAAGAATGCAAATGACCAGCTGTCTGCCAGGAGCATAAATCCTTCCATTCCCCACCATCCACTCAGAGCTGGAAAAGCTTCTTGGGTGAGAAGTAAAACATCTTCAAAGGAAAAACAAGAAGGCCCAGTTGCCTCGTGAAGAAGCATCTTTGGGACAACTATGACTTGGATGACTAAGAATCTCCATAGACACTTAAAGACAAGAAGTGGCCAAATCAGGAGACCAGAGAATAACCTCCCTTACACTCCCATTTCCTGAGGGCTCCTCAAATCAAGGCTGCCTGCCTGCAGAGAACACTTTCCCCCCAGGGAGAAGCCAAGACAAAATAAGGGGGAAAGTACCAGAAAAGGCCTTGAACCTCAGAGTTAGCTTTGAGGGCCCCCCCCCACTCCAGGTGGAGGCCCTACCCAGCCTCTTCTAGAAACCTGCAGATTGGCACCCAGGGAGCTTCTGAAAGACCAGGGAGGCCGATGCTGCTCATGCAAACATTTTATTGGAGAAGAGGGTCTGATGGGTGAGGTAGGTAGGGTCACCCCCCATTTGCACCCAAACGCAGAAACCATGGAAGGCTGGCTCTTCACCCTCTCATTTGACGCGCTTGAAGGTGTCCGTGTCAACACTACAATGAAACAGGAAGGACAGACTTGTCAAAATTCAGGGTGGCATGATTGGTGTCCCTTCCCCAAGCTGAGCATCCAATTCCCTCCTCCCACCCACTCATGTGAGAAAGAAAAGGGGGGCAAAGGAAATGGACGCTGCTGGTTCTCAGGGGCGGACAGGGCCGGCTAGGTCCCCAACCAGGCATTGCAGGCCACGTCTGATGAGGGGAAGGACACTGGGCGAATTCTCCTTGGTCTTTGGGGGCCTCCCTTGAAGCAGCTCCATCCAGGTGACCAAGAAGATGGCCACGTTGGTGGGGACCAGAAGAGCTGCAGGCCTTGTGCTCAGGGACCACACCCAGGTGGCCTCTTTGCCCCATACAAATATGGGGCTGTGCTGGCTACTGCTCTCCAATTTGAGTAGAGCAATTAATGACAAATCTGAGTGTTGCCAGCTGTGGGCAACCCACACTGTGTTGCCACGCAAACCACACTTGTCAGCGAGAACAATCTGGGGAACCTCCTCAAAAGCTTTGCTGTGTTTCTTTTTTGGGGAAGTGGCAGAAAGGGAGTCTCCAGCCTCTCCCGCAGGAGCTACTCAGCCCTGGGTGCGAAAACATCCCGAGAGAGGCAACCATAGGGGCGCCTTTTCAAGAGCCACTTTGGGAGGGGGGAGGGGAGAGAGAGAAAAAGAGGTGTGCAGGGCCCTTCCAGTTGGGGGCACAGCAGTTCAGCCCCTGCATTTCCTTACCTGGTTGCACCCCAATTTTCTGCCACGGATGCCAACTTTCTACGCAGCAGCGTGGCTGTCTTCAGCTGCTCCTTTCCTTTGTCATCTACGAAACACTGGCCCACAAAGACAGCGGTGGAGGCTGAGGGAGGAAGCAGCCAGAGACTCACTGGCAGGTAATGGTGTTTTAGCACTTGGGAGGGGGGGACTATGTTCCATAGATCAAACTCCCAATGGTTTATTCCAGGCCATTGGTGCCTGGAGGCTCAAGGAATCTTATGGACTCCAATGTTTTTGGGCAGCTCTAGCTAATGGTGGGGGAGGGAACATTCAGTGAAAGAACCTGCAAGAAGCATATCTAAGGAAGGGGAGATCCACTAGATTCCCTCCTCCCCTTCTATTTGCTTCCACCCCAAATAGTGAGTGGCTCTACCAGAGGTGTTCCACATCAGAATGAAGCCAAAGGTGGGTTGAGGCTCCAGGTGCTGGATGCCCTGCAGCATGAGTGGCGGGATGTCTTGTTGGTGGCACCCAGGACCGTCAGGTAGAAGCCGTTGAACATCCCATTAATATTGTGGTTGATGACTATCTTGTCGCCCTTGTCATTCACCCAGCTGCCAGTCAGGGAGCACTAAGGGAGAGCGGGAGAGGGAAGGAAAGCGAGTCAGGGCGCTAGCCAAGCCCAGCTGTCCAACAGATAGAGACCCTGGCTCCATTTTCTCCGGGGGATTTGAAAACACCCGCTGCTCCCACGTGCCCGACCCCCAAGGCTGCCCAGCCGGGTGGGGCTGGCAAAGGGGGCGCATCCCAAAGTCCGTCGGTGGAGGCGCCTGCCAGACCACGTCCGGGACGACACCCGCCTGCAGATCGCTCTGCCATCTGCGCAGCGAGCGAGAGCACCAGCCCTGGCGGCAGGCTGCTGAAATCGAGGCCGAGCACGGAGGAGGAAACGCTGGGCGTCCGTCCGTCGGGGACCCAGGGCCTCTGGCGCTCAGCGCGACGGCATCGGGTGCGATCAACCCCGAGGAAGCGGCAGCCTCTGCGCAGCCCGCCGGCTCCCACCAGCTGTTCCTGCCGCCCACCCGAGCAGAGCTGGTGGCGGGGGGTTCCCCGGGGGAGCATCTGACCTTGGCGGCTCGCTCCGAGTTTTGGGGTTCGACAATATTTCCAGAGCAGCCCAGCAGGAAAGCGAGGAGCCCCAGAGCTGCCAGGCCAATCGCCATGGTGGTGTCCAGGAGTCTAGACGTGCCACCTCCAGGCGGGACGCTCCTTATAAAGCTCCGCTGGCACCGGCTCCCCCCACCCCGAGTTGCCGCCGCCTCCGACCCCCACCCCCCCGCGGCTGGGAGGGGTCGGACGCTTCTGCGAAATCGCTGGCCTTCTGCGAGCGCTGAGCAGCACTTCGTCAGCACTTCGCTCCTCGTTAAGCCACCCCCCACCCTTCCTCCCCATACATCGTTGCCCGAGTTACTCCTTGGTCTGCCTGGTGGGGTCCGAAGGGAATCAAGTCTGCCCCAAACCTGCTGCAGTCTAGCTGGGGAGGAGGAGAGGGCGTCGGGGGGGGCCCCTTGCCATTTCTTCAAAAAGGTCCTAAGAAGGGGGGGGGGTTGCCTCGGCCGTTTCCTGGAGCTCCCCTGAAGTTTCGCTCGCTCCGCCCGCCTCCCAGCCTCCGAAGGCAGAGAGGAGCGGCGGGACCCCCCACCCCCACCCCTCGCTTGCTAGTTTGCTCGCTCGCTCTGCGGGAACGACGGCGCCCAGATGAGGAGATGAGCACCATTCAGAGATGGGAACGGATCCCGAACAGCGATTGATCTCCGGGAGAAGCTGATCCGCGGAACCGGCCACCGCGGGGACCCTCTGGGCGCAAGGGCCACGCAGCCTCAGGAGGACCCTACCGTGCCCGTCGTGGCCCAACCCTGGCTCTCCTGAAGCCACCGAACCGCACGGGGGGGAGGGGAGGGGACGCGGCAGAAGTTACTTTACACGCAGACAAGCAACAAGGCAGCGCTTGATGTGAACCCCACAGGGGGGCTCGGAGGCTCTGCTGAGCAGCCATTGGGAAGGCTCGGACACCTTTGGCCCGGTTTTCCCCTCCCAGGCGTTGGTTTCATTTTCACCCAAGGCAGGAGCCAAAGGCGGATTGCAATGTTTTAAATAAGCCTATCTGTTTGACCTTCATCATCATCATCATCCTCATCCCTTCCTAGTAGGTCAGCATGAAGACAAACCATCCTTGAGATGTTCGGGTTAGCGAAGAAAAATATTTTGGCTTTTTGGGCCACGAGATCCAAGCTGAGATGCCCCCCTGTCCCCACTGGGGGGGGGAGCGCTTTGGCTCGCAGTGAAGGTTGTATTGTTCAAGGGCATTTTAAGCAGCTCATATGTTTTTTGGCAGGTAGGGGTGTGTGTGTGTGTGTTCATTCATGACCCAACTAGGTAATTTCATCAGTGCCAGTAAGGAGTGGGGTTTCCTCTCACTTTAATATTGTTGTACAGGGGTCCTCAAACCTGGCAACTTTAAGACTTGTGGACTTTAATCTTTGATGGTGAGGAATTCTGGGAGTTGGAGTCCATGAGTCATAAAAGGGCCAAGTTTTTTTTTTTAATAATATTCAATTCCTAATCCTTCATTCTTTCCTCTAACCAACAAGAAAATACGTCCCAAATTTGATAGTAGTCTGTGTCTCCTTTATCTTTCAGTCTCATAGTTAATCTGTCCATCTCTGCACATTCCAGTATTTTCCTGATTATTTCTTCTTCTCATGGCAATCCTTCATTCTTCCAGTATTTTGCAAAAATTATTCTCGCCGCTGTGGTGACGTGTAAGATTAAATAAAGACTCTGCTTATTGATCTTTTCAGACATTATACCTAGTAAAAAAAGTTCAGGTTTAAAATCAACTTGTTCACCCAATATTTTTTCTAACCACATATGTATCTTTCTCCAATAAGCCTTAGCCTTGCCACATGTCCACCAAATGTAGTAATACATGCCTATATTATGTTTACATTTCCAACATCTATCTGACATGTTTTTAAACATCTTTGCTAATCTTGCTGGTGGCAGGTGCCATCTATAAAACATTTTATACAAGTTTTCTTTATATGAAGTTGACATTGTTAGTTTATAGTTTCTCTCCCATATCATTTGCCATTTTTCTAGTTCTATATTATAGACAAAAAAATTTGCCCACCTTATCCCTGATTTTCCAGTTCTTGTTTAGATTTTAAATTCCCATCAGTATTTAGAATATCTCTATATGCCCCTATTTTTTCAAAATCTACCAAGTTCGGATGTATAAATGCTTCCATCGTTGATAACCACCCTGGAATTCTTAAAGTTATTTGAAAATACTTATGGACTCTGTTTTTCCCATACCATAAGAAAGCGTGCCACCCCAGTTGTAAATCATGTCCCTCTAAATACAACAACCTTTTATTTCTAAGCATTATCCATTCTTTCACTCATGTTAAAACAGATGCTTGATAGTACAATATCCATTCCGGCAGCCCAAATCCTCCATTTTCCTTAGCATCTTGTAATGTTTTCATCTTAATTCTAGCTTTCTTCCCCTGCCAAATGAAGTTCAAAATTAATGAATTTAAGTGTTGAAAAAAATTTTTCTCAAGTTTTATCGGAATTGTTTGAAATAGAAATAAAACCTTCGGAAATACGTTCATTTTTACTGTAGCAATTCTTCCTAATATTGACAATTGCAGATTTTTCCACCTTTCCAAGTCTACCTTTATTTGCTTCAATAATTTTGTATAGTTGTTTTCTTTTATTGACAAACATTTAGCCGAAAGATGAATACCTAGGTACTTAACTTTTTTCACTATCTGTACCTCTGTTTTCTCTAGCATTTGCCTTTTCTGTTTATCTGTAAGGTTCTTAACTATTACTTTAGTTTTTTCTTTATTTATTTTTAATCCCGCCATTTTTCCATACTCTTCTATCTTTCCCCATAGCTTAGGAATCGTCTCTAAAGGTTCTTCCAACATAAATACTAGATCATCGGCAAATGCTTGTAACTTATATGTTTCATCTTTTATTTTCAATCCTTTAATTTCTATGTCCTGTCTAATCCTTCTATTTAACACTTTCAAAGTAAAGATAAATAATAATGGAGATAGTGGACTTGCCTCGTATCTTTTCTTATCTCAAAACTCTCAGTGTAATCTCCATTCACTATCACTTTTGCTGTCTGGTTGCTATATATTGTTTTTATCATATTTGTAAAGTTCTTTCCAAAATCCATTGTTTGCAGTTGCTGAATCATGAATTGCCAAGAAACATTATCAAATGCCTTTTGAGCGTCTAAAAATACTAATGCTAATTGTTTCCCTGGATGTAATTCATAGTATTCTAATACGTCCATTATCACCCTTAAATTGTTTTTGATTTGATCTTGTTTTGATCTGGATGTATGAATTCAACTAAGTATTTTTTCAGTCACTCTGCCATTATTGAAGTAAAAAATTTATAATCCACATTAAGTAATGAAATCGGTCTGTAGTTCTTAATATACGTCAGGTCTGAATCTTCTTTTGGTATCAAAGTAATATTTGCTTCTATCCATGTATTTGGAAGTTTAGCCTCTAACAATAGTCCATTACAAACATCTTTCAGTATTTTGCTTAATATATTGTGGGGGAAAATGCACGCGCAGCAAACTGCCATGCTTTCCCCCCTACACATGTCATCACCTTTTGATACCCTAATGAAGCAGACAGAAGGTCATCCACTTTTGACTTAATGCCTCACCTACCTAAATATGATTAAGTTACTTCATATCTCTTCCTGTAAATAATATGCTTAAGTTCCTTCCTATCTCTTCCTGCCTTTGATTAGTTCTGTCAATGATCCTTACCGGAACTGTGAGTTACAAAAAACATGACAACAATCTTCACTCAGGTAGCAACGGTTTAATCAGGATCAATTTAGTTGTTAGCAGAGACCTGCAGCAATGAGGCTCTTTGCCAAATTAAAGTTTGCGCTGGGAGCTATTGCCTCCCAGCACTGCCTAAATACATTTCAAAAGCCACCCCACCCTTCACCCAATTACCTCCCAATCACATCCCCTCCCAACAAATTACAACCCCACCCATATCACTCTCCTACACCTCACCCTACTATCACCCA